TGAAAAAAAATTATAATTTTAAAGATAAGACTATGTAACGTACATATGTATGTTATATTTATAAAGCATATGTATATATGTCTAATAATATAAAAGATAAGTTTATATTCTATGTTTATATTTATATTCGAGGATTATATAATCCTCGAATATAAATATAAACATAGAATATAAACTTATCTTTTATATTCAAAGACATATATATATATATATATATATATATATATATATATATATATATATATATATATATATATATATATATATATATATATATATATATATATATATATATATATATATATATATATACATACATATATATATATATACATATATATATATATATATATATATATATATATATATATATACAGTGTGTATATATATATATATACAGTGTGTATATATATATACAGTGTGTATATATATATATATACAGTATATATATATATATATATATATATATATATATATATATATACAATGTATATATATATATATATATATATATATATATATATATATATATATATATATATATATATATATATACATTTATATATATACATTTATATACATACATACGTAAAAGTTATAATTACATTATTAAAATATTATTATTATTAAGTACATACTTAAAACATTAATAGGTATATAAATAAATGTAGCAATTTAGACTAAATTATATAAAATGATTTTTGTAATGTGTTTTTTTATTGTTATGTTATTTAGAGGTTTAATAAAAATTGTAAATGCGAACTTACAAGAGAAAAACTGAAAAAGGACTTTATCCAAAAGAAGTAGTAATAGAGGCAGCAAGCCACGTTATTGATGGAAGAGTAACATCAGTTCGTGCATCAGCAAAAAAGTTTGGAATCCACTACTCGACTCTTTCTCGTTATATAAAAAAAGTTAAAAAAGCTGTTGATATGGGAATGCCACTACCTTATCCTGGATATAAAAAGAATCAAGTTTTTACTTATGAACAAGAAATAGCTATTGCTTCATATATATCAATATGTTCTGATATCTATTTTGGATTATCACCATATGAAACAAGAAAGCTTGCATTTGAATGTGCAGTAAAGTATGGTATTATTTTTCCCAAATCGTGGTTAAAACATTCCATGGCTGGTCCTGATTGGATGAGAGGGTTTTTAAACCGACATCCAAGATTGTCTATCAGAACTCCAGAAGCAACAAGTCTTGCACGAGCAACTAGCTTTAATCGTGCTAATGTAGGTGTTTTTTTTCAAAAATTATCAGATGTTTTAGATAGGCATCATTTTTCTGCATCAAATATCTTTAATGTTGATGAGACTGGTATCACCACTGTGCAAAAACCAAACAAAATAATTGCTCGTAAAGGCATTAAGCAAGTGGGTGCATTAACTTCTCAAGAGCGAGGGACATTAGTGACAATGGTAATAGCCGTAAATGCATATGGCAATAGTGTGCCTCCAATGTTTCTTTTTCCAAGAAAGAAATTCTTTGATCACTTTATTCGTGATGGGCCAAATGGCTGCATTGGTGCTTCGAATGGATCAGGCTGGATGAATGAGGAGTGCTTTATTACTTACATAAACCACTTTATTCGACATGTAAAGCCATCAAAAGAAAGCCCTGTGTTATTACTTTTAGACAATCATCAATCTCATTTATCTATTCAATTAATAACATTGTGTAAAGATAATGGTATAGTTTTGCTTTCTTTCCCTCCTCATTGTTCGCATAAGTTGCAACCTCTAGATAGATCTGTATTCGGACCATTTAAAAAATGCTTAGCTAATGCACAAGACTCATGGATAAAAAGTAGTCCAGGGAAAACAATGAGTATATATGATTTACCAGGAATTGCAAAAATAGCATTACAACATTCTCTTACACAACAAAATATATCTTCTGGTTTTAGAGTGGCAGGAATATTGCCATATAATAAGGATATATTTTCAGATGCAGATTTTGCTCCATCATTTGTTACGGATCGTCCAGCAACCCAATCTAATGCAGCTATTGATATTAGTATATCAACTTCAACCTCAGATGCAATTCCATCTGCAGTTTCAAAATTTTCCCCTGAGGTTGTAAGACCGCTACCAAAAGCACGACCCAGGAAAGAAATACTCACTAGATCAAAGAGAAAGCATACAGAAGTACTCACAGATACACCAGTAAAACAGCGTCTTATGGCTGAAAAAGAAATTAGTTCTAGAAAGCGAAAATCTGCTAGTACTTCTGCATCAAAAAAAAAAAACAATAAAAAAGTATAATTGTTGACTTGAAATGTAATGAAACTCTTTAGTTTCTTTAATGCTAGTTTGTTTTTTTATGAGCCTTTATTGCTTGGAAATTTTTTTTTTTGTTATCAAAGTTAGATTATTGTTTATTTTTATGAAAGTTGTGTTTTATATTATTTATAAAACTACTCTTGCATTTTTATAAATTGATTTAATGTTTACTGAATAACTAAAGGAATACTTTTTTAAAAAAACACTTAAAAGTTTAAATAATATATGAGCTTAAATAATAATCCTCATTATTTTCTTTCTTCAGTTTTTAAAGTCTTTGAATGTAAGCATTAGTTTACTAAACATGTCAGGTACATGTCAAGTCTAAAATACTACTTTTCTTTTCTTTTAATTATAATGTTTTGTTGCCAAATAGAAATTACAGATTAACTAGTAATTTTTATGTGAACTCTGCAAAGCTTATACTTTAAAAGTATTGTGTTGCAACTTGCCCCGTGCACTGTTGCAATTCGCCCCGGTGCGGGGTAAAATGCAACATATTTTTGTTTCACTATTGCGGAATAACTAAATTTGATATTTTATTTATCAATGTTGGATTAATACGTAACTTAAATCTATTTTATAACCCTGAAAAATAAAATCGAAAAAATATATATTTAAAGGGTATAAGTTACGTTTTTAAAATTTTGTTGCAACCAACCCCGGTCTCCCCTACACTTTATTTTTATTGGAATAGTTAGTGTTTAAGAAAAAATTTTGTATATGTCCAGAAAACCCTGATGTCAAAAAGTTTTTAAATCTTTTAACAATTTATTTGGGTTAATTTGCCAAATTATTGTGTTTTTGCAGGAATAATTTGCTAATCTAACAAACTTTTTATTTCGGATTTAATAGAAATACAACTGTTATTTTTCTATTGAGTATAATCTATAACAGTTAAAAAAATTTTTTTTTCTATCTCTGTTTTTTGCTAGAGTATATTTAGAATTATCGCTAGATGCAATCTTGTTTCAATATTTCAATCCATATGAAAAGCTGGTAAATATACAACTGATATAAGCATTTGTATTCCATTAAATTGCTCTATTTTCCACATGAAGTTTCACAAATATATCCCCAAGATAATTCTTAATTCCACAAGATTTTAAGAAACCGCAATAATTAAATCGTTTAAAAGAAATAAGAAAACTATACTGCAAAAATAGATTTTTATTGCATTAAAAGTTTAATAACAGATATTTACTGAGGAGTAAAATTAAATATATAAACTACAGATAAATAAAGTTTTGCTAATATTAAAATTGTAAATTTGAACTTCCAATATATTCTTGTTTTAAGAAATATCTTAAACTATAGACTAATTTTGCTGTGTTGACGATACTTTAGAAAAGATGTCGTTTATTAAAGTTTTAGTATGTATTTTAGCAAATATTAGAGTTTTAGTATCTATTTAAACTCTCGATATCGAGTTAAAAGCTTTTTCCGTTGAATTTTAGACCTATTTTTAGTTCAATAACAAAATAAGTCTGGTGATTAAAGCATAAAACTTTCTTTTCAGTAAGAAACTATGGGTTGTATAATAAAAAACAATGCAAAATAATGAGTTTAAAAGTTAATTTTTTTGTTACCAAGAGTTAGCAGTAACAACAAAACTACCAAATAAACATAATAATTTATCCGTATTAAATTACATTTTTATTATTTTTTCATTAATTTACATAACATTTTAAATTAAGCAAAAGTTCAAAATAATTAAGACATTATTTTAAGGCGGTTGATAGTGTGAACATAGGCTACATTTGGCGTAGCGAAAATATATCGTCTGATGGTGGCAAGTGCATAAATTGGCCGCGACAGATGTTGGCGGCGAGTCAAATGTCTAGTTATATCAAGTATATAATATTGTAGGATAAAAGATTCTTACTCAGTGGGCATCGGACCTAAATAAGACGTTTTTTGAACGTTCAATAGACGTGTATAAGACGTTTAACCCTTAAATCTTGTTATACGATTTTGTTTTACAAGAAATTAAGCAGTTGTTAGTTTCTTACTTATAAAAAAGCTACAACGGAAAACAGAATTTTAAAAGAATATTTTTTTCATTAACAAACTTCATATAAATATACTTCATGTACATGGAATTGAATAGAATTCATGAATGAATTCCATTCAATTCTAAATGAATTAAATTAACAAACTTCAGAATATTTTAGAACTAGATTGGAAAAATAAAATCCTTAAAATGAAAAACTTTCTAGCACCAATACATCTAGATATTTTTTGCATTACTACATCTAGATCTACTTCTCCAAAAAACGTTTTCCTTAAAATGAAAAACTTTCTAGTACTAGCATATCTAGAGGATTATTTATACTAGCATATCTAGAGGTTTTAGTTCATCTAGATGAACTAGTCTAAAAAACGTCTTTTTGCCCCGTTTTTGCTTTTAAGCTGAAATATTTTTCTGATCAAATTTACTAATTTATTTTGTGTTATTATTTTACGTTATTAGTAATTTTTGTTTTAATTAAAATTCGCAATATCAAAAAGTTAATTTTTAGTTATAATATTTTTTTCACGTTGTTTTAAAAACAATAGATAGTTTATGACTCATGGTCTTCTTTTATGATTTAAACCCATTTTTTTTTTTTACTTTATATATATAAATATTTATTTTTAAATAGATCATTTAAAACTATAAAACCAAGTGATTATTGGATTATTATTTAAACCAAGTTTCAACTTTTTGAAAAGAGTTTTAAAAAGTGGTACTTCATCAAAGCTTTCACGTTTAAATATTAATAAAAAAATGAACTTATGGTTTATTTTGTTTTGGTTTTTTTATTGTTTATTTTGTGGTGAGTGGATTTTTTTCTCTGTAAAGTGTTAAAAAGTTAAGGTACATAATTTTTTGTAGTAGCAACAAGTATAAACATAGTTTCACTAACCAAATACGATTGTAATTTAATAATTACTTGTTTTAAAATCAAAATATAACTCTAAATATAATTGAAATTAAAAAAATTTAGGTTTAAATCTATTTTTGTAAAGTTTAATTAAACTTTTCTTTTCTTTTTCAATTTAAAGATCATTGAAGTGGCCACCTCTACCGCATGGTAGACCACTATTAAAAATCAAGCTAACACCATTAAAAATCATTTTTAAATAATATTGTATAAGCAAATATTTTTCTTTTTCCGTAGCAACACTTTGTTTATTCCGTTGCTAGCCGAAGGAAAGCTGAAAAAAAAATTATATCTTAATTAGATTATATATTCTTAATATAAAATACTAGATGTGGTGATTGCAACTCTAAACTGCTTTTTGTTTATTGTTTAAAATTTTTGCTGCATTTGGCTACATGAGTTTTATTAAATTTTCCAACTATATATTCTGTTTTCTGTAAAACTTTATTCTATCACTTTGATTTAACAATATTATGAATGGAAAATAATAATGGATTGGAAAATAGGGAGAAAAAAAAACATCAAAATAAGCATAATAAAAAACTTTAAAAAAACCCAAAATCAAACAACAAATAATGCAGATGTAGAAAATGTATTTAGTTTGCATGAACTTGTGCAACATTAAAGAAACGACCTAAAACACAGTCTTGAAACACAAGTTTTTCTTTTAGATTGGTTTCAAAACTCTTTTCCTTTTCAGCTCATAAGATCACTACAATCAGTTTCTGTTTGGGAATCACTTAACCCTAGTATATTTTCGAATCTTGAGATTTTACTAGCTGGCACCTTGTTTTCAGGAAAAAGGGCTTTCAACTCGGTTTTCTTTGCAATTTTGATAATAAAAATTTTAGGCCCATTGTTAGCAAGCTTTATTGAATCACCTGCATCCACTTTTATTATTGCACATATATACATACAGACATCCCAGCGGGCACGGCAACGTCCATATGACGTCGAAAGGACGTCTTTTTAGGACGTCCGGGACTGGTTCTAAATGGCAATGCCAGATGACGTCTTTTTAAGATGTAATTAGGACGTCTTTTTAGGACGGAATAAAGACGTGTTTTTAGACGTCTAAAATACGTGAATTTAGGACGTTCAGAACAAGTGCTAAATTGAAACGCCAAATGACGCCTTTAGATAACCTAATTTCGACGTTTTCATTTCGACGTCTAATATACGTGTTTTTACATGGCTTTACTTGAACGTAAGGTTCAAATTTATGTTTTCACAGAACTTCTTGAAAATAAGAAAAAAATATTAAATCGTTTAGATTTTTTAATAATATATAATATTTTAATAATAATATATAATAATAATATATAATAATTTAATAATTGTGCTGAGTTTTATAAATTACAATTTTGTTAACTTCTTTTTCCACTTGTTAATTTCCAAGAATCGAATGTTCGAACAGTTAACGTCATTCACCTTCTTTTCGATCAGATGCACTCTTTAAAATATTGCCACCAGCATTTTAAAGTTTTTTTTGTTGTTGAAGGATTCAGGAAAGCAGTCTTAACCTTAAAAAAACATTGTCAAGATAAGTATGTAAAAATAAAGGGGAAATAAACATCACAAACACACAGACACGCACGCACACAAACATATATATAATTATTATTTTATAAACATAACATCAAACATCAAAAAATACGAATTTCTCAACACTAAATTGATTTTTTTAAAGAAATTTTTGAATGGATTGTTGTGACCAGCTTATATATTTATGTATATTAAGTAAGTAATATAATTGCGGTATTAAAAATGCTCTTTTTATAGTAAAATTATACTTACTTTGAACGCATGGGCATAGAAGTAATACATTAATGTTTTAATCAATTCAAAAATTTTGTGTAAATTATGTTTATTTGTAAACTGAGCATAATGTATATAATTACAGATCAAAAATTTTTATGTAATTTATGATAGTAATTTACCCTTAAAAAGAAAACTAAACATTCAACCATAATAAAAAATATACTACTTTTTGCAACATTTGTATTGAGAAATGATTGATCACCTTCAAGAAACTTGGCGATAGAATCACACTAGTAAAGATCAAAACTATTCTCAACTTTAAACCTTTTTTATATTTCATTATTCTTAAGATAAGTAAGTAAATGAATGGAAGACTATATATTAGTTAATTAAAAAACAATATGCTATTATAACTTACATATATATATATATATATATATATATATATATATATATATATATATATATATATATATATATATATATATATATATATATATATATATATATATATTACATCTTCACTTCCAACAAGGCTGCCAGCAATAAGAGTTTGAAAGTTACTGGAATAGAAAAAATAGAATTCGTAGAGCAAGATAATGATTGACAGATGACTTAAAAGATTGCAAATTAAATGAATCAGGGAAGCAAGATGAAGGAAGCGAATTCCAAAGAACTGACGTTCAAAGAAAAAAACTAGAGGAATAAAAATTTTTGGAGCACTTAGGAACAGTCACAGAAAAAGGATGAGACTTAATTGAATGGCGAGTGACACGAGAATGAATTTAGTAGATGAAACAAGGAACGCTAGCTCTTTAGAGCAGTACCCATTATAGTATTTGTAGAAAAGAGAAAAAGAAGCATTATCATGACGATGTGACAGTGGTTGGAGATTGGCTGCAAGAGCAGATCCAACTATGTTTACAATGCGTTTTTGCACCTTATCTAAAAAAGAAAGGGCATCATTAGAAGATCCGCCCCAGATATGGCAACAGTATTCCATACAGGGACAGATTTGAGATTTATAGAGATAGAGAAGAGAATTTGGAGTAAGGAAGTGTCGAGCTCGATAAAGAGATGCAGCCTTAGCAGATGCTAATTTTGCAATGGATTTGATATACCATTTAAAAGAAAGATCAGAAGTAAAAGTTAATCCTAGAAGATGAAGGGTAGATGACTCATCTAGTACATTATCATTCATAAATATAGGAAGATCTAAACTATTGTGATAACGATTGGCAAAAAAAATTGAGTTTTATCTGAAATAAAGTTCACCAGCCATTGTGAGCCCCATGCTGTAGCAGAAGTGAGATCCTTTTCAAGCTCAGATACCTCCTCCAAGCAATCAGAGAGTGTAGGCTTCTTTTTATGACAAGAATAAATGGTAGTGTTGTCAGCGAACAATGCCACTTTAGATGTGAGAATATCTGGAAGATCGTTAATGTAAATTAAAAGAAGTATAGGGCCAAGGATTAAACCTTGAGGAAACCCTGAAGTTACAGGATATAAAGAAGAGTGTGTTAAACTTTTCTGTTTAACTTTAAATTGTATCTAATTGATGTTTGACGCTATCTTTTTCTAAATTTTAACAAATACTACAAATTCTACTAATTTTAACTAATAAAAAATAATAACTAATAATTCTAAATTTTAACTAATTCTTCTAATTCTAAATTTAAACAAAACTAATTTTCATTTTATTTATGGACATATATTTTATATTTTCAGCAAAAACAAAATCAGGGTTTACATTATTAAAAATGACGCTAAAAGTATGGATTTTAAGGAGACATTTTTCTATTATTTAACAAGATTTGGTCACAAAAAATTACTTTTTGAAAGAAAAAATAAACAAAATTAAGAAGAAAATAACTACATTGAAAAGAGAATCTTATTTTTTTTAATAAATTTTAAATAAAAACAGAAAAATTATTATAAGTTAACATATTACTTATTATATATATATATATATATATATATATATATATATATATATATATATATATATATATATATATATATATATATATATATATATATATATATACCCATATAGTGTAGCTTTAAGAGCATTTTAATGTAAAAAAAGTCTCTTACGACTACAATTTTAATTACCTCGTCTCTTAAGCTGTTTTTGATTGTCATCGAAATGTCAAAGCAATTAATTTATGCGGAAGTACATTAAATTTAATTGTTTTTTAAAAATTTTTTAAAAAACCGTAATTATAACGACTAGAAAGTTTTTTTAATTAGTGGTGTTTTTGTTATTGATTTAATAAAAAACATTTTTAAAACATGCACAAATGTTGCTACATCGACTATCTTATAGCCTGACTCGCAACGGAGTGCTGCTACATCGACTGACAAATAGCCTGACTCGCAACGGAGTGCTGCTACATCGACTGACAAATAGCCTGACTCGCAAGGGAATGCTGCTACATCGACTGACAAATAGCCTGACTCGCAAGGGAGTGCTGCTACAACGACTGACAAATAGCCTGACTCGCAAGAGAGTGCTGCTACATGAGGGTTTGGTTTGGCCAGGCAGTCTATCAATTAAAAAAAAAAATTTAATTTTTAAAACTTTTTCTGGTCTGGTTTATTAACGCGCTCTTTAAAACTACAGTTTATGGGAAACATTTTTTGATGCCACGCAAGAGACATGCAAGAGTATATATATATATATATATATATATATATATATATATATATATATATATATATATATATATATATATATATATATATATATATATACAACCCTCGGAATTAGGGTTGGCATGCAGCAATGCCAACCTAAAAGTGTTTGAGGTCGACAAATAATGCTGACTATGTTTCTATGTTTAATTGTGAATCAAATTTTTTTGCTTTTTTGATCGATGTCTACAAATTATTGCCTTTTTTTCTAATTCCAAGGGTTGTGGTGTGTGTGTGTGTGTGTGTATATATATATATATATATATATATATATATATATATATATATATATATATATATAAATATATATATATATATAAATATATACATGTATATATTTATATATATATGTATATATGCAGGGCTTAATTTAACAGTCAGACATCGGACATTGTCCAGCTAAAACCTCAGATTGTCCAATCAATTTACCAAGT